TCAATGCTATGCACATTAAATTACCAACATTATTCCTCTCAGACCTGGAAACAACAATTCAGAAATTCATATGGAAACATAAATGGGCATGGATATCCAAAACAATCCTTAGCAAAAGAAACAAAGTGGGAAGTATCACACTTCCAGACTTTAAACTTTATTATAAGTCTACAATAATCAAAACAGCCTGGTATTGGTACAACAACAGGCATATGGACCAATGGAACAGGATAGAGATTCTGGGAGTAAAACCTCAATTTGTCAACCAACTCACCTTCTGCAAAGCCTTCACCAACAACCACTGGGGAGAGGAGAACCTGTCCAGTAAATGGTGCTGGGCAACCTGGCTTACCACATGCAGAAGATTGAAACAGGCCCCCTACCTATCACCATACATAAAAATTGATTCTAAATGGGTCAAAGGCCTAAACGTAAAACCTCAACTTATAAGAATCTTTGAAAACTTAGGAGACACCCTTATGGAAATTAGAATAGGCAACCAATTCCTGATCAAAATCCCAGTTGTCCATGCCTTGAGAGATAAGATAGACAACTGGGACTTCATCAACCTGAAAAGTTGGGCAAAGCAAAAGAAACCATCCAGAGAGTAGGGAGACAGCCCACAGAATGGGAAGAAATATTTGCCAACTGTATATCTGACAAAGGCCTAACATCCAGGATCTACAAGGAACGACAAAGTGTTGAAAGGAAAAAAACAAACAGCCCTATTAAAAGGTGGGCAAAAGATATGAATAGACACTTCTCAAAAGAAGATATACCAGCAGCTAACAGATACTTGAAAAAAAAGCTCAACCTTACTAATCTTCAAATAAATGAAAACTAAAACCACACAGAGACCGCCCAGGATGGCCATCATCAATAATTCAAAAAGCAACAGATGCTGGAGAGGACGTGGAGAAAAGGGAATGCTTCTACACTGTTAGTGGGAGTGTAAGTTAGTACTACATCTGTGGAAAACACTGTGGTGATTTTTAAAAGATTTAAAAATCAATATTCCATTCAACCCAGCAATCTCCCTCTGGGAATATACCCAGAGGAACTCAAATCATTCTAGCAAAAAGACACCTGCTCATGCATGTTTATTGCAGCATTATTCCCAATAGCAAAGACATGGAACCAACCATGCTGCCCACTGATAGTGGACTGGACAAAAACAATGTGGTACATATACATGATGGAATATTATGCAGTCATAAAGAAGGACAAAATTATGGACTTTGAAGCAACATGGATGGATTTGGAGTCTATAATACTCAGTGATCTATCACAGAAACAAAGAACTGAGTACCACATGTTCTTACTCATAATCAGACCCTGAACATTTATCGAATACTAAAAGGAAGGGATTGGTAGCAGTGGGACACTGGCAGAAGGCAGGGAGCACATAACATCAATAAAAGTATCTGATCTCAAACCAGGCAAAGTGGGGACCAAAGTGAGGCCCAAACTTCACCTGTATGATGACCACTTATGTGCCTAATTCTGAATTGTACCTCACATCTTTAGAATAAAAAACTATTTACAATAGTAACAAAATTAAAGTACTGTTTTAAAATAAAATTAACAAAAACTAAAAAAGTAGAGTTTGGCAAAGCAGATATCAGGATTTTTTAAGTGTATTTTAAAAAACAAGATTTTTCCTTCATTTGCAGTCAACAGGTGGCAGATAATTCCACCCCAGATTGTGGTATAAACTTACTGAATCTAATATCGCATTCTTCTTCTTTTTTAGTAGGTAAAACACTTTCACAAAGAAAATATATTGCAAAATAGCTTTTGAAGAAAGCAGACAGAAAACCTTAGATGTTAAAGAGAAAATACAAACGTGCAAGTTGGAAAAAAAAAGTAGGCAAAGCATTTGAACAGACATTTCACAAAAGAAGACACAGAAATGGCCAACAGCTTATATGAAAAAAGAATGCCCAATATCTCTAATCATTAGGGAAACAAATCAAAACCCAAAATGAGAGATCATTTTACCCCAGTTAGAATATCTATTATCAAAAAAGTCAAAACATAACAAAGCAGGCAAGGATTCGGAGAAAAAGAAACTCTTATACACTGTTGGTGGAAATGTAAATTAGAGCAGCCATTATGGAGAACAGTATGGAGGCTTCTTAAAAAACCAAAAAGAGGACTACCATAAGATCAAAAAATCCCACTACTGGATATTTATCCAAAAGAAAGAAAATCAGTAGATCAAAGGGTAACCACAACCTATGTTTATTGCAGCACTCTTCAAAAGAACCAAGATGCAGAATCAACCTACATGCCTCTCAATGGATGATTGGATAAAGAGTGGATGATTGGATAGGTGCATAATGCAATATGATTCAACCATAAGAAAAGAATGAAATTCTGTCATTTGCAGCAACATGGATGAAACCAGACATTATTATGTTAAGTGAAACAAGTCAAGCCCTGAAGGTCAAATATTGCATGTTCTCATTCATAAGTAGAAGTTTAAAAAGTTGATCTGCTGGAGATAGGAAGTAGAACAATAGTTACCAGAGGCTGGGAAGGAGCAGGGGTAAAGAGAGGTTGGTTAATGAGTACAAACATACAGTTAGAGAGAAAGAATAAATTCTAGCATTTGATAGCACATTACAGTGACCACAGCTAACAATAATTTATTGCATATTTCCAAATAGCTAGAAGAGAAGCTCTGGTATGTTCCCTGCACAAGAAGGTGATAAATGTTTGAGGTGATGAATATCCTAATTACCCTGATTTGATCATTACACAGTGTACCCATGTGTCTAAATATCACATTTGCCCCACCCATGTATGCAATTATTATGCATCAATTAAAACAATAGAATACACTAGTGTAGTATAGTCACATAATGAAATGCTACACATCAAGGAAAATAATAAACGACATGCAGCAACATTAATTTCATAAACACTGTGGGTCAAAGAAATCACACTAAAGCACACACAGTGCATGATGTCATCTATTGGGGTGACCCATGCATCCTGGTTTATACACCCAGTTTTAGCAATGAAAGTCCCACATTCCAGTAAATAGCTCAATCCTGGGCAAACTAGGATGTTTGGTCACCCTACATTCATATTTAGAAAAAGATAGGCAAAACTAATCAATACTGTTAGAAGTCAGAAGAGTGGCTGCCTAGGTATGGGGTTACTGACTGAATAGGGGCCCAGACCTCTAGGAGGCGCTGGGAATGTTCTGTTTCAGGATCTAGGTGTGAACGACACAATTATGTTGTTTGTGGTAACCCATCAAGGTGTACACTTAGGGCTGGGCACTTTTTATTTGTTTTACTTCCATGAAGAAGAATGTTAACAATATTGACAAGCAAGATGGCACAGGGGTACTAGACTGCAAGCAGATTGCCAGGGCTTAAATCCCAGCTCTGACATCGGCTACCAAATAACCGAACTCACCTCAGTTTCCTCATCTGTACCAGGGCATGACCAGAGCACCACAGGTCCAGATTTCTTTACTGCAGGACTAAGGATGTGTATAAAGGCAGAGGCTGCTACAGAGAGGGGGATGTCAGCCGTGCTAGAGGGTAATCATGCTCTCCTACCCTCAATCTTAGGGTCCTGACGTCTTCTCAGCTTCCCTCCTTCCCCAAGGTCCAGTATCTTCAGCCTCAGTCCAGGGACTTGTGCTCATAGCACCAAATATTTCTAACTGACGAGAGCCAGTCCTCTTTGCTGTTGAGAAACTACAGAGGAAGGTCCTTCAGCCTCAGTTTACTCCTCTGTACTATGGGGAGTGTTAGCCTTAGGAAAACCACTGTAGATTGTCCCTGCCATTTTGCTAACACAAACCAGGATGGAAATATGCCAGCTGAGCACTGACTGCAGAGTGCATCCTGCCATATGTAACACCTAGCCTAACCACAGGGCTTCCTCCCAAAGTACTTAATCACAAGCCTCAGCTGATCCCCCTAGCCACCTCAGCCACAAAATTTCCCCTCAAGCTCTATAATGCCCTGGCCTGTAAGTGGTAATGGACTTCAGTTTCCTGGAGTCCCCTCTACAGGTTCTCTGACTTGGAATAAATCTGTATTGCTGTTGAGCTGCCAGTTTCCTACCTCCCTTTTCCTATCTGTTCGTTTTCTTGACCTAACAGGAAGAAATAGCGAGTAATTGAGGCCGGGTTGCTAGCACAAGATTGGCATAGATAGATACATTTCTTGTAGGCAGTTTTAGGAAGTGTCCAGTCATCTTGTTGGCAGGCTGAATGGCCCTGTGGTCTGGAATATGAATTCAATGTGGACTCCCAGTCTACCCCATCCCCTCAGCTCCCAGAAGAAAAACTCCATCAATGTGGTTCCCAGACAGGGAATCAAAAAAAGTCATAGAAATGCTAATATGATCATCTTTTAGCTCAAGAACTTGCATAATGAAAAGTCTGGCAAGTCTCCCTGGAAAGACCATCCCTTCACCCAACAGAGTCAGAGAGATGGGAGTAGATAACCCAGCCTTTACTCATTAGCATATTAATGACTACCTGGGCATATCATGCATTTATAAAAAGTAAAATGGGTGATTTTCTTTTGTCCATGCCAGCTCTGGCATGTCTCTCTCTGTTTCCTCTCTTCTTTCCCTAATAAACTTTGTTTTAAAACTTTGCTAGCCACTCTAAAATTTATTTTAGGGTTGAGTCCAAGAATCCATGAGTTTTACAATGTACCCCACCTGGCATCATAATCACAGTTAATTCATTAAGCATGAACCCTGTGCTGAGAATATTATCTACTCAAGCCTTATAGTACCCTGAAGTGGGCACTACGCCTCTCTGCATTTTACAGATTCAGAGACTGAGGCACAGAGAGGTTAAACAACCTGCCCAGGGCCACAAACGAGTCAGGGGTAGCGCTTCCTCCAGGGCCTGTGCCCCTCCACCACATCCCACCCCAAGCATGGGCCCCAGGTCACATGGCCTTCCTGTGGCCTGGAATCTCCTGGTCCCAGAGCCCCGATGCCAGGCCTGGACTCACTTTGGCCACTCCCTGCACATTGGGGAAGTTCTTGGGTTCCTCCAGGATGTCACAGATGGTGTTCACAGTCTGGTCGATCTGTCTCTGGCACTCTTCATAGGGCTTCAGATAGTCCTGGATATATTTACTCAGCTCCTGAGCTGGCAGCTGAGACCACCAGTTTCCCATTGCTCCCTGCTGGCAGCTGGGGAGAGGGTTGATGACCGAGGTTGAGACAGAGGACCTCCCTCTGCTGCCCAAGGGTGGGAAATGGAAACACAAGAACAGGGACCTTTGTCCTGCCCTTCCTGTGTCCAGAGCAGGAAACTCAAGATTCAAACTCGGAAGCCTTGGCCCTGCCCCCCGTGTGACTACCCAATCCTGTACCCAGAGCAAGGAAACTGAAACTCAAGCTGAGGACTGCCCTGCATATGTGGTTATCAACTTCCTGCTTCATGTTCAGAAGCCTCTACTCCAACCCCTGCAGCCTCGGTTATTGCCCTTCGGTGGCTTTTAGAAACTCCTCCAGGCTAAATATTCAGCCTAGAGTCCCACTGGAGGGTTTCATACATGCTAGACCTCTGTTCCTGAGCACACATCACCTGTCCTCTGGGTTCCTCAATTTCTCCATCTGTAGACTGGAGATAAAGTGGTAACTCTCTTCCAGGGTTAATGTGAGAGTTAAGTAATACCTGTAAAGTTCTGAAGACAGGGTGTTGCACATGACAAATGATATCTGTGCCAAGTAAATACAATTTCACAGAGGTAGAGGGGTAGAGATCATCTTTTGAAACTCTGACCCCTTTCTTCTTGTTCTCAGTGACCAGAGAACTCAGACTCAAGGGAGAGCAGCAGAGAGGAGAAAGAGGCCCAGAGAGGGACTTGATTTGCCCAGGACACACAGCAAGGCAGGGACCCAGGGTGTCAGGTTTCAGTCTGCCTCTGGGTAAACACCGGGCTCAGAGTGGTCAGTGGGTGGGAGCCTCTGAGTGCCTGGTTTCTCCTGGCTGGCTGCAGGTCCTCTTGAGGCACCTAACCGCCTAGCCAGGGCGGTTAATTTTATATGTCCACTTGGCTGAGCCGCAGTGCACAGATACTTGGTTAAACATTTTGTGTGTGATCTTTTTGTGAAGGTGTTTTTGGTTTTTTTTTGGAGTCTCACTCCTTCGCCCAGGTTGAATTGCAGTGGCACGCATACTCACAGCCACTCTAGCAACTACCTACTGGGTTCTGGCAATCTTTCCACCTTAGCCTTCCGAGTAACCGAAACTACAGACATGCACTATCATGCCCGGCTATTTTTCATTTTATTATAGAGACGAGTTCTCATCAAGTTGCCTGGGCAGGTCTCAAACCCGAGGGCTCATGCAATTCACTTGCCTTGGCCTCCCGAAGTGCTGGGATTATAGGCTGAACCATCAAGCCCGGCCGTGAAGGTGTTTTTTAAGATGAGATGTTTTGAGTAAAGTCAAGTACCATCATTAATGTGGTGAGCCCCAATCAGTTAGCTGAAACCCTAAATACAAAAAAGACTGACCTTCCCCGAGGAAGAGGGGACTCAGCCAGCAGACTGTCTTTGGCCCTGAGTTACAGCAGCAATTCTTCCCTGAGTCTCCAATAGTCTCCTGCCAGTCTATTTCACAATCATGAGTCAATTTCTTAACCTAAACATTTCAAATGAATTATACCCATCCGATTGACTCTGCTTCTCTGTAGAACCTTGACTGATGCACCTGCCCATTAGGACCTTTCCTGCCCTTTTCCAACTTTTGCTACCTCACTGAGAGGTAGGCAGGCTAGGCAGCAGTCTTGAAGCTCCTTTTTCCAATGATAAGTTGGAGGTATGGTTCTGAGACCTTTTGGCTTGGATGGGAACTACTCCACCAGCTTCCCTGGGTCTCCAGCTTGCACACGGCAGAGCATAGGACTTCTCAGTCCCATAATCTCGTGAGCCAATCCCTCCCAATACATCTCTCTCTTTGTATCTCTATTTATCCTAATGATTTTGCTTCTCTGGAAAACCCTGCCTAATAAAGCATACAGATGCTCCTCACTTTACAATGGGGTTGTCTCCTGATAAACCCACAATGATGTTGAAAATTTTAAGTTGAACCATCGTAAATTAGGGACAATCTGTATATGAGGAAGAACCCCCAAAACAGAAATTTGTTTATAAAAAATTGTATACTTATTCGTACATGTTTAAACTTCAGTCACCTTCAAAATACTCTTCATTTGATGTAGTTCACCTATCAAGATGCTTTCTCTACCGCTCAAATGTTTTTGAATTCATCCATTTTGATACCTTTTAGTACTTCTACTGATTTTTTTGTTTCACCAATTCCATACTGACGAAACGTTTTCCTCTGAGGACTTTTTGCATTGGGGAAAACACTCCCACAACTCAGAGTAAGATCAGGTGAATAGGGAGAGTGGGGATCAGGGGTCATGCCATTTTTGGTTCAAAACTGCTGAACACTCAGGGCACTTTGGGCAGGTGTGTTGTCATGGTGAAGGAACCATCTGCTTGCCACAACTCAGGATGTTTCTTCTGCAAATTGTGACACAGCATTTTCGAAACTTCCAAATGAAAACTTTGGTGACTGATCCAGAGGAACAACTTCCAAGTGTACTATAAGAGGCCCACCCTCCAATAGATAATTCAGATTTTTTGGGGTCCCCCACCTTGTAAATGAGGACGATATGTCTAAACTTAAGGTCAATGAAACTATCTGTCCACACAGCATCTTGTACACGGGTGTTCATGGCAGCATTGTTCATAATACTGGAAAGGTGGAAACAATTCAAACACCCGTGGATGGATGAATAGACAAACAAAATGTGGGCTATCCATGCAGTGTAATACAATCCAGCAATAGAAAGGAATGCAGCAGTGACAAAAGCTAGAACATGAATGAACCTTGAAAACGTCAAGTAAAATAAGCCAGACACAAAAGGTGACACATCATCTAATGTCATTTGTATGAAATGTTCCCAATAGTTACTACACAGCAGACTAGTGGTTTCTAGGGATTAGGGGGAAAATGGGTTGTAGGAATGGGGAGTGACTGCTCCTGGGTTTCAGGTTTCCTTCTGGGATGATGGAAATGTTCTGCAATTAGTATGATGAACGCATCTGTGACACAACTCACCTTGTGAATATCCTGAATATGTCTTGTGGATATACAAACTGTAAATCTTATGAATATACTTATAGCACTGAATTGTATACTTTTAAAGGGTGAGATTTGCGGTATGTGAATTACATCTCAATACAAATTTAAATTAAATAATTTAAATTAAAAATTAAATTAGAAAAAGCACACACACACAGCACCAACACCCTCTTTGGAGCCTGCATTTCTTAGGATTCAGATTTGGACATGCCTGCTGTCTGCAGGAGATGAGAGCCTCTTTAGAGGCTACTGAGGAGGCCCTCTGTCTCTCATTTGAGCTTCCAGCTACCTGATGCTCACAGTTACCTTTTTGTCATTCTTTTGCCCAGAGTCATGGCAATACCACCCAATTCTACTGGTCTGTTTATTTAAGTGCCACCACCAGACTGCCTAAACACTAGGGGCTTCATAGCGTGTTTTACTATTGTCTAGGGTCAGTCCCTCCTCAGAACTCTTCTCTTTCTGTGTTTTACCAGCTATTCTTTACGTGTATTTGTCCATAAGAACTTTAGAATCAACTTGTCTGGTTCTGCTGAAAAGCACTTGTGGGTATTTTTAGGGTGATCATTAAATATGTAAACCAACTCAGGGAGAGCTGATATCTTTCTGAGGTCAAGTCCTTCTATCCCAGGGTGTGGCTAGGTCAGGAAGTCCCAAAAGTTACAATGAGGCCAACATGCCAGTACCAGGGTGGCCACTGTCAAAGACTGAAGGACTAAAATGAAATTCGCCCCTGCTTGGGTCAGCAAGGCATCCTCCCTGCCCTGTTCAGGGAAACCATTCCTCACTCCCACACACCAGAGCTGCCCTGGTTCCCACCACCTCCCAGTTACCCTAATTCTGGAGCTGTTTTGAGGGGGAGGCAGGAGTCTGTGTGGTGAGGATGATGAACAAGACGATCTGGGCTGCTTCCCTGCTAGCAACTGAACTCAGATGCCTGCTCAATAGCCCAGACACACACTGTAGACCTGTGAGCATCTTCTTTCTTCATCCGGGCCAGACATAGCTAATCAATCATGGTACTCATACCACCACAGTCCTCTACAGTATCCATGGCAGACATCATTAATTGATTAGGTCATTCTTCTCAGCTAAGTGCTCATTCTTTAAAATCCTTCAGAACATAAGGTTCTAGGCAGCCAGTACCAAATGATTGTGGGTGACAAATGAGATGGAAATTCTTTGCCATCCCTGTAAAAAGTGCTTGGATTTGGGAAAGAGATACAACCGGGAGGCAGGATGGGAACTAATTTGGAAGTCAAGGAGGAGAAGGGCATTGTCAGAGGGTAGGATGCAGCATGTGATGCAGCAACACAGTTCAAAAATGGAGTCATGGTATGATGGAGAAGCTTCAAATGCAGGCTGGTGCCATACCATGGAGTCTGATTTTGGACCCCAGTGTGCAATCCACAGGAAGGGTGTGTGAGCTGGGGCAGCAACATGGACACGGACACACACACACACACACACACACACACACACACACACACACGCACACACACGCACACACACACGCTCATCCGGCAAGGGATCATGAGTCTCCTCATGCTGAGGGCTGTTCATCTTCTGCCCATCCAGTTTGACCACTGACTTTCTGGACTTACACAGCAGCCTGGGGAGTATTATGGAAGACATTGGCTACCCCGTCCTTCCTGCAGAAGCTGAGGCCACATGGCCAGATGGGAAATGGATGCACAGGGGCACACGTGGGACCATGACTGGGCCTTACCCCTTTAGTGGGAGTCACGCCCCTCCCCAAGCAATGCTACTGCCCACCACCTGACAGAGGGTGCTCCCTTCCATATCACAGCTCTCTCACCTTCACTGGCCATGGCTGGACCAGAGGTGCCACCCTGCTCATGCAGCACAGGGCAGATCAGATGTGCAGGCCGCAGCTTCCTTGGCCAGTAGGTCTCAGAGGGCATTGTGACCCAGGTTGCCTGTCGGGCCTGCCAGATCCAGGAGGATGGGCCTGCAATTCCCACCAAGATCAGACTAATACCTGGTAACTTC